TTGTTCGGAGGCCATTCCTTGGCTTGCGGGTTGATACAAATTTCAATAATTGTTTGCTGATGGTTGCCTTGTGGCTTGTTTCCTCCAATGAATGGTCTTTGTCTAGAAGGTAAGTAGTTGCAGGATGCTGCCATTCCTGAGTCTGATTGGCGTCTTCACCTTTCTCTTGTTCTGTAATTAGTTTTGTTTGTTTTAAATCCGTGTTGTAATATCTTTTTATTGAATACATTATGGCTTTGTCCCCTTAATTGAAAAAAAAAAAAAAATCAAAATCTCTACTATGAGAACTAGGTTGCATACTGCCATGGGTACATTTTGGGCGAGAACATGGAGCCATGCAAATGCCTCATTGACTCGTGTTTATTTGTTAAATATTGTAATTATTTGTCCTCAATAATCTACATTTTATGACTTACAATTAAGAAAACTTACATAATTATAAATATGGAAAATAATGAGATTAATTATAAACACGCATGCACCATAATCTTAAAAAAGAATTAAAAAAAAACTCTTGATCAGGCACAAATCTAGAGGCAAAATCAAGTTGGAAATTTTCAAAAATTAAATATGGGACCATCTGAACTCCGATTTCAACAAACGTATAGTCGAACTGAACGTCTCAGAAATACAAACCAACAACACGAAATTCTACTCAATCCAAGCCCAAATGATTAAAAAACAAAGAGGTAGATGATGTATGAGATTGAGATTTTTTTAAATAATAAAAATTTATCTTTAAATCTTTTATTAAATATAATTAAATAGGATAAGGCGCGAGGTGAATTAAACACTTGCATGTCATATGTCAAGTAGTTTAAGGATATGTTTGGGATGATTATCACATTTTATAAAGGCTTCGTTCGTTTGGGACGACCTTTTTACTGATTTTTAAACCAATTTTTTAGTACAAAAATTAATTTTTTTATGTTAGAAAACTGCTTTAAGAAACATTAAGAAAGTCATCGCAAAAAAAGTCAAAGTTGATTGTAAAATTGTTGTGGAATATGGTTTCATTGGGGATGGCTTTCTTACTGCTTTGTAAAGTTGTTTTAAAGTGTAAAAAATTTTTTTAATAGGAGAAAAAAAATACAGTAGTCCAAAACTGTCCAAAACGAAGCGTTAGGCATCGTTTGCGACAGCTTTCTTGCTACTTTAGAAAATATTAAGAAAGCCGGCACAAACGAAGCTCAAGTCACTCAACTAATCTGATTGAAAAAATAGTAGTTTTTCATCATAAAATTTTTTTTTTAAAAAAAAAAAACATTAAGAATATAACATAAATATAACCAAATAAAATTATGATTGTTGTCTAAAAAATAAAGCAAAAATATTGTTCCAAGCACACCCTAAAGTAAGGCTCATGCCAGACTATAATTCAAAATCTATAGCAGGTTGGATCCATTAATGATGCCTTCTCGCGTGGGAGTTCCAAATGTGGTAGGCAGAAATTTAAAGGAAGTAATTTGGGTATATTTTATTTATCTCTTTGGTTGTGGTCTGGTGGTTTCTTTGGAGGTTATTAGGCTTCGGTTTGGCTTGCTGGTTGGGGCGTTGTGGATTTTTTTGTTTGTTTTGGTTTCTTGTCAGTGTGATATTGGATTTGGAGGTTGTTGGGCTTCGGCTTTGGCCTTGGGTGCTTTCTTGGTTGTCCGATTTATTGGGTTAGTGACTTTATTGTGGTTGTTTATTCATCGATGCTTCCGAACAATGACGAGTCTGCTTCCTGCATTCCCTTTGGTTGGTCTAGGCTTGCTGGCAACTTTGGTGGTTATTTTCTCTTTTTGTTCGGAGGTCATTCCTTGGCTTGCGGGTTGATACAGATTTCAATTATTGTTTGCTGATGCTTTCTGGCTTGTTTCGTCCAATGAATGGTTTTTGTCTGGCAGGTAAGTAGTTACAAGATGCTGCCATTCCTAAGTCCGATCGGCGTCTTCACCTTTCTCTTGTGCTGTAATTGGTTTTGTTTGTTTTAAATCCGCTTTGTAATATCTTTTTATTGAATGCATTATTGCTTTGTCCCCTTAATTAAAAGAAAAAAAAAATCAAAATCTCTACTATGAGAACTAGGTTGCATACTTCCATGTGTAGATTTAGGGCGAGAACATGGAGCCATGCATATGCCCTCATTGACTCGTGTTTATTTGTTAAATATTATGATTATTTGTCCTCAGTAATCTGCATTTTATGACTTACAATTAAGAAAATTTACATAATTAGAAATATGGCAAATAATGAGATTAATTATAAACACGCATGCATCATAATCTAAAAAGATTTATAAAAAAAAAACTAAAAAATTCTCTTGATCAGGCACAAATCTAGAGTCAAAATCAAGTTGGAAATTTCAAAAATTAAATATGGGACCATCTGAACTCCGATTTCAGCAAACTTATAGGCGAATTGAACATCTCAGAAATACAAACCAACAACACGAAATTCTACTCAATCCAAGCCCAAATGAATTCAAGTTAAAGACCTGAAACACATTTGGAAGGTTCAAATCATAATTTGGATTACCAAACAGTTCCCAAACGCAACATGCTTATATTCAAATCGAGTGGCTTGACGAGACAAATCCAACGAGCCCAAGATCATCAAATTCTGATATCATTAAGACATTCAAATCTCTAGTAAACGGTCCACGATTAATGAGATCAACATCAACCGTCCATTCAAACCACTCTAAATTTTTCCTTGATCTTCCACCTATTTACTGGTCATGTCACTGTTAGAAAACTATAAATAGATTCCTCATTTCTCATGAAAAGGGGACCCAAGTTAGAAGAAAGGGAAGATAAAGAAGAAGATAAACCAGAGTTCTATTTCCATCATATTCCTCGACCACCGCCGGACTTCCACCCGATCGTTGACTGACGTCGAACTTCCGCCCGGCTGCCGAATTCCGAATTTCTACCCAACCACTGATTGATGTCGAACATATGCCCAACCGTTGACTGATGCCGGACTTCCGTTTGATAACCAAAAATTTGCTGGATTTCTAATCTCCATTTGTAACTAGATTTCAACACAACGGTTGATTATTTTAATATACTTGTCCTCAATTTCAGGGACGAGTTAGTCACTTGTAATCTTATAAAACACTAGTGGATTCATTTCAACTGGGTGTGACCTCGTGGTTTTTTCCTTTTCCAGGATTTTCCACATAAAAATTCCGGTGTTTCATATTTTCTTATGTTTGTGTGTTGGATATCCGTACAACACAGATGAAAAAATTTCTAACACTATCGCCGTGTATATTCTAGCCAGCAACGACTACAATATTCTTAATTATGAAACTAAAAAAAATTAATAAATTGCCCTTGCTATTATATATATATATATACACACCCTCTCGGTGAGATATAAACTTAAGATTTGAAAGTGAATATAATTTATGATTTAATTCAAAAACCATTTTCACCTTTAAAAACATTCATGATAATTAAAAGAAAAAACAAATTATATATTCTTTATGCCGAATCTTTTTAAAGGTTAAAAAATATATATTTTTATATTAAATCATAAATCATAAAAGAGAATAATTTATTTTTTGCTATGAATAAATAGAAATTGTGAATATATAAATGGTGTTAGTTGTGTAACAATGATTGAATGACTGTTGCAAAATAATGATAGTGAGACAATCATAGTTTGATTATCGTGTTTGGATGACAGTGAATGGATTAGGGTGATCATATGATAGTGATCAGAGGACGATAGCTGTGATACGACAGTTAGATGACAACAATCAAGTAATGGTGGTTTGACAATTGCAGTTCGACAGCAATAGTGGATGGTTGTGATTGTTGGCATCGATGTTAAATTATGCTATAAAGTTTTTCGAATCTCCAAGCTCTATCTAAACTTAAATATAACGCCCTTTCTTGAGAAGAATGAGAGCAAATTTATTATACTTTGATAATTTCATAACACCTCATTAGATGGATTGTATTGAATACTTTGATAATTTCATTATAGATTGCTTATTCGCCATTTATGTATTTTAATGATATAAGAATTGAGTGATCTTGAATTTGTCGAATTCATCTTAATGAAAAGTTGCTTGTTTTGAATATAAGCATATAAGTTTCGGAGACTATTTGATAATCTAATTAATATCCTAAATTTTTTTTACTATCGATTGATTTGAGTATAAGCATATAATATTAAGAGATCTTTAGTGAGATTAGATTTGTCATACCAATACGCTCAATTTTGACTATAAATTTGTCGAAATTGGATTTGAGATAATTTTAAAGTCAGTTTTGAAAGTTTTTAATACAAATATTGCATCAAAATTATATATATAATATTTACCTCAACATAAATTCAATAATTTGAGATTTATGCTTTGTTTGGGATGATTTTTTTTTACTACTTCTTAAAACAGTTTTCTAGTGTATTATTTTTCTTTTACTTCTTAAAACAAATTTTTAATATAAAATTTTTAATTTATGTACTAAAAAAATTTTATACTAAAAATTACTTTAAAAAACAGTAATAAATCCGCCCCAAACAGAGCCTTAATTTTACCAAAAATTATATCACAATTACTTTTGGTATTTTTTTTTTTACTTTGAAAAATTGACCGTTTTTTAAATTTTTTTTCTCATCAACCCAACTTTTAACAGCTCATGCAAACATGTAAACCCGTTACACGTTACAGCTTCTCATAACCTCACAGTGGGGTCCACATACGTCACTAGACGAAATCAACGCGTTAAGCGTGACCCCTACTTAGTTCGCCACGCGTCCCGTTTTCATGACCTTCATTTCGCTGTACGCTAAAATCATTAATACAGCGGATTTGAATTTGTAATCTTTTTATACAAATTCGGGAAGCACGGTTCGAGCCGATTTAGCAGCTTCGAGTCGGTTTCGGCGGATTTAACGTCGTGGAGATCAATTGACCGTCGATTTCTTGACCTGCGAGATCCACCGTCCCTTTTTTTTCTTCCCCTAGATCCTTGCCATATACTACGGAAGGATGTATCGGTTTTATTTAAAGTCGCTTCCCTTCCTCCGCCGAGGAGGCGGCGGAGATATTGGTACCCGGTAATTTCTAGTGTTAGGGTTCTTAGCCATGGATTCCGAGTTTCAGGTTTGGGTGCGATGGGAAGAAGAGATAGTGTCGAACGATCGTGGGCGGCGAGAGGTGCATTATTATGTCAGGGACGACTGCGGCGGACGAGATCTGGCGGTTGTAGGGAGGGAGAAAAGTGTGCGCCACATGGCGTATGCTGTTCCGGCGAAGTTTTATCAGTCTCTGATTAGTTTGTCGGATACCGCTTCGCCTTCCGGGGTTAACTCGGCGGCGGCTGCACTGCCGTCGGATCTGAAGTTGCGAACACGGAGACAGGTTGTGGATTGGCTCTCCTTGCTTGTATCAGGTAATTTTGTGATTTCTCTTTATTGTTTTTTTTTTCCTTTTTTGTGAGCGCTGGTTTGCTGCTTTCCTTTTTTATGTTTGTTTATTGAAGGAAAAATTTTGGATGGGAATTGAAAGCCTTGGGGATTAGGTTTTTTTCTGGATCTGAGGTTTTTCTTATGGTAGTTTCGGTAAAGTTGCTTATTGCTAGGTAAGGTTGCTTCTTGGTTAGGTTTGTGTTGTGTTTGTTTTGGAAAGATTGTTCCTTTGCTTGGTTTCAGCGCTAGACAAGGCATTTGTGATGCTGGAGCTCTAGCTTTACTTTTGTTTTTATAATTATGCTGCACTATTTGGAGGTGAATTATCAAACTCGTTTTTTTTTTTTTTTTGGTTTGGAACTGTTTTTTTTTTTTTTTTGTTTGAGGTGAGCTTTGTCAGATCTGAGGTCTTCGTCGTGTCTTTTATCAAATTTGCTGTAATTGTAGGTTTCTGTGTTTGTTCCGTTGAGTTTTCTTTCATTATTTTGGAGAAAACTAGGTTTATAATTTCTCATATTCATAGAAATTTGGATTTTTAAATTCCGGAATTGGTAACCCTACGCTGGACGTGTACTCCTACGTCTTTCAGCCTTTAAACGAAACCAAAAGGAGAAGTGTGAAGACAAGGAGCAGCTCTTGCGGGATCAAAAATTTCAAAGCTTCCTTCATAACTAGGTGCTTGCTCTCATCTCTTGTCCCTCCTTCCATCTGGCTCTTCTCCGCAATTTTCTATAATCGTAAACAGTTATTCCATCAAAATGAAAACTTGAATTTATGTGCTCGTTGAGTAAATTCCTTTTGGAGAAGCGTTAATTAAGGTTTAATTTTTCTGTTTCTATATTAAATCTGCCTAGCTGTAGGCGTTTTCCTTCTAATTTTCTTATGGGATTATGTACCTTTTTTTGGTTTGTTCGTGGCTTACAGGGGAGCTTTATATTGATATTCTCATGGATAAATTTAGCATGTCTCTTGAAATTTTTATGTAGAACCTATGTAGAAATCATCAAGCAAGATGCAAGTTAAATATTGAATTCATATTTTTCCCCCTTGTGAATTCTATCTGTCTTAGCTGTTTCATCTGATTTTCCCATGGGTAGAGAACATTCATTTTTCAATCGCGCCTTACACAGGAGTTGTATATTGATCTTCTTATGGATAATCTTTGTGCCGTTTCCCGAAATTTTTATGTAGAGCCTAGCCAGAAATCATGAAATAAGATGCCAGATAAATTTTGGAGAGTTTATTTGCATGCCTGTCCTCACATCCCTGGGTTTGTGGATAAAATGAATAGGGATTATTACCTGCCTGTTCTTCATGTTTATTGCTTTGCCCATCCAAATAGATATATCATCTTCCTGCAACATTTGATGGAAGGTATGAGACATGGATACGCAAGGGCAAGGGCACAACACAACACAATCATGGGATAGGAAAAACCATGCGGAAGTATAACGCGGCACATCTAGGGTGTGGGATTATGAATTTAAAATATGTAATTGGTAAAAAGGTATCGCATTTGCGTAATAAAATCTTCACAAACAAGCCAAAAAATTGTGGATCTTTATAAGTAGTATGTAGCTTAAGGAATATCTTTCATAAATAAGGATGTTGAGTGAAAATAGCAAAAAAAGGAAATGAAGAAATGAATGTGCTATAGTTAAGAGATGGAACTTTTTTATAGTGGTATCAAGTCCACCGAATTATTATTTAGTTTGGCTTATAGGCTATTTTTCGAGAAATGTTCAAAAAGCTTTTGTTTTCCTCAAAATAGCATGATGAAAAACACCTTAGATAGCACTTAACAAGTATGAATGAATATGGGAAATAATGATGATGAGGAATTAAAACAGGACTAGGTTTTTTTTGGGAGATGATGCTGACAAAAAAATGAGGATATTTTCTTTGTTTATACAATGGAATTTTCTTTCAAATAATGCCTAGATTAGCTTGTATGCTTGTGCTTTTCATTGTTGCTAATATCACCTCTTTAGCATTATAGTTATTTTTACCCTTTGTTGGTTCGAGATTTAGGACGCCTTTAGGACTTTTTGGAGTGTAGGCAATGAATGACATTGTTGATTTCTTACTTCTCATTGAATTTATATTTATGCATTCGAGCACATCCTTCTTCCAACTGTAATTTCTTCTAGGTCTGGTAGTGGCTCTTTTCATATTAATGCTTTTTTTTTGGTTCCAAATCCAGCATATGCATGGAAAATATAAGTCAATGATGAAAATTTCTTGTAAAATAAAAAATATGTAATTATTTTCTGCAAATTTTCTGATTTTTATACAAATGAAGTGTTGTACAGTACCCAATTAACATAAATTGTCTTTCAATGTAGCCATGTGGGTAAAAAAAGTTGAGCAGTAATTAGAATTTCTCCTTATACTCTCTTTCCTTAATTTTTTTTTCCAGCCTTGGTGAAACTTTCTTGAAAAGTCTACTTTTTGTTGATTTAGGCTTGGTTTGGGATGGCTTTCTTATTACTTCTTAAACCAGTTTTTTAGTACAAAAATTAAAAATCTTGTACTAGAAAACTGCTTTAAGAAGCGGCAGGAAAGCCATCCCAAAAAAAGCCTTAGTTTTGTTTTTAGTAATCAGAAGTTCCAAAATTGTTTCCCTATATGTTTTAGAAGTTTCTTCTAGTCCTGGCTATTCCCCCATTTGTTTGTGTTGATTTTTCACTGCTTTTAACAACTTTCCTTACCCTAAAATTGATTTGTAGGAAACACAAATGGAAATCCCTATTCATAAAAAGCACGTTGTTCTCAGTTTTCGGACCATATGGAACACAATTGCAGGGAAACTTATCCTTCTTTGTGATATTGATAACTACTTGAATTCATTTGACAAAACACATCATTTCTAAATAAAGCCTTTCATTCTAAATAAACCCACGTCTTCTTGTGTTTCTTTTTGATATGTTCTTTTTTTCTTCCAAATTTCATGTTTGATATCAGCCTTTTGGTTTCTTAATCTTTTCTTACTCTTTTCTTCTCTTGATTACTATTTGAGGCTCTACTTAAACCATCTTGGTGCGTGCATACTTATTACCATATTTATTTATTTATTTATGATGTAGAAGGCATTTGTAGACGTTGATGAAGGTAGCTCTACCCCTTCGCATTTATAGAGTGGGTTTTTAATGGTTCGAACCTGGGACTTCCATAATACACTAGAGGCATGCATATTAAAGTTTAACGTTGTCTTGTTTTCTTTGTCAGAACTTCATATCCTTTTATTGTACAACAACTCTTTATTTATCCAAAGTTTTTTTCCCCATCAAATATCTATTTCAAGCATCTATGTTGCACCGATATGGATACGACACGATTCAGATACGGGATACATCAATTCTTAAAAATACATGATACAAGTATGGTGCGAACACAAAATTATAATTTATAAATCACACATAAAAATTAAGAAAGCAAGCAAAACATAATATTTGAAATGACAAAAAAAAATGAAAGCAACATCATTTGCCATATTTTTTTTTCATTTTTCAACAGACACGCATATTTGATACACATATCCTTTTGAAATTAAATAGTATTTTAATTGTATACTGATTTGCTATATCCTGCATGTATCGGTGCCGTATCCGACGCGTATTTGTGTCCAACACATATCCAATATAGCACGCTTTCATAAATAGGTGTATCGGTGCAACATAGTCAAGCATAGAACTTAGAAGAGCAACCACCTTTATTCTTTTTCATACTACCTGTGCCTTGCAAATCCTTTTGTTGAGATTCTTTATACTTAATTTTTGCTATGCTTTGAACTAATATTCGTTATTTAAATAGATTCCACGCCATATGGATTGGACCCTGTGTTGGACAGATACTCTGATGATGAAGATGCCTCACCAGCCAGTATTCCTGTTTCCAAGGTAGAGATATCCCCTTTTCTCATTAAAATTCAAATTTTGATCTGTCATTTATAATTTTTAAACTGTGACTGAAGCATTTTCCTTGAAATCCTATTCCTTCCTGCTTCTCTACAGGTTCTTTCCTCGGGACGAATGAGGCACCATTCGGAAGAGTTTTCATGGTTAGGTTCTTCATGGAATTGTAAGAAACGCCGGAAGCATTATCAATCATTTTGCAGAAATGGAATTACGATATCTGTAAGTATATCAGCAATCATCAATTGATATGCTCTTCTAGTAATTTTGCCGCCTTATCTGAAATACCAATTTTTAATAACACCACCAGGTTCATGACTTCATCTATGTTCTGTCAGAAGATAATAAGAGGCTTGTTGCATATATTGAAGATTTATATGAGGATGTGAAGGTCAATAACATGGTTGCGGTACGGTGGTTTCATAAAGTTGATGAGATTAGTATTGTTTTGCCACCCGACACTAATGACAGAGAGATTTTCTTTTCTCTTTGTCTCCAAGATGTCAGTGTTGAATGCGTAGATGGGTTGGCATCTGTACTTGGTTTTGAGGATTTTGACAAGTTTCAGAAAGAGGCACTGCACAGATACAGCTCCTGGGAACCTTTTCTTTGCCGCAGACAGATTGACAAAGAAGAAGTTAAGACTTTTGATATCACTCAAGTCCAAGGTTACTGGGGTCAGGATCTTCTTCGTTCCATGTACCCCTCCTGTTTTAAATTACGGTTGAAGATAAAAGGCCATGGTTCTACTGTAGATGGCAACAAAAATAGCTTTGATTTTCAGGGAAATTGCAAGAGAAAACCTCTCTCAAATAGTGGAGGCGTTGATGATGGCAAATCAAAGGTTTTGAGTGTTGGAAATAGATTGGAAAGGCATGATCGAGTTAAGTCGTCGGCTGCCCTTTTCAGGAGGGGGTTGGTAAAGCAGGTAGACTCCCAGCATCAGAATTTGATAACTTCTGGGTTGGGAATTGAAGTGCTTTCGCAGGACAGTGGCATCAGGGGCTGCTGGTTTTGTTGTGTGGTTCTCAAAAGACGCCGTGATAGAATCAAGGTTCAATATCGAGACGTCGAAGACGCCGATGGAACTGGCAATTTAGAGGTAAAAAAGATGGTGCTTACCCAATGCTCTTTAGTTGTGCTTTTTCTAATGATGCTTGTAACTTAGTCATTTAGTTTGTTTGATTTATGTGTAGGAATGGGTTTCAACATCAAGGATTGCTACTACAGACAAATTGGGCATTCACAGAAGTGGAAGGCGAATGGTTCGCCCAAGCCCACCAAAGAAAGATGAGAGTTTTTGCAGTTATGAAGTTGGGAAAGCTGTGGATGCATGGTTGCATGATGGGTGGTGGGAAGGGATTGTTATCAGCAATGACAGCGAGGGAAAAATTCATGTATATTTCCCAGGTGAGAAAGGTTTAAATTCCCCATTACTGTTTTCCATAGGAGCCTGATAGGAAATACTTGAGTTCGCAAGTAATCCTATCGGATCTACTTGAGTTCGCAAGCAAACCTAACAATAATCGGTAAAAATAGCGATAAAATGAAGAAATCGTGGTGGAAGAACAATCAAACGATAGCAATTCTTATAGAAAACAAAGGGAAATAAGAACAAAGCAAAGATACGAGATCCTTAAATTGAGAGTCTAGAGCCCAAGTCACCAAGGAACCCTAATTCCAATCAATTAAAACATAATCATCCCTAATTCTCTCCCCCTCTTTAATACAAAAGTTTTCCTAATTTAATTTCCCTCCCAAGCCCTAGCCGCCGCTCACTCCTTTTCAATTTGAAATTATTTGGACAAGTGGGGCCCTCACCCCTTTGGGCGGAGCACACCAGAGGAGACGGACTACTCCCGCCTCCTGTACACGATCTGAGCCGGTGGGTTCATACTGAACTGGCATATCAGAGCCAAAGGTGCATGTGAGAGAGCATATTTCAAAAGAATTTCGTCAAACATTAGTAATTGCATCATTTAGAGATTTCTTCTTTGTCCGCCTCTTATGTTTTTCATATTCTTCCTCTGTAAACTTGCAGGAGAGCAGCAAGTATCCAGCTTTCGTCCTGCGGACCTGAGACCCTCTCAAGATTGGGTTGAAAACAAATGGAACTACATCAAGGCCAGGCCAGATATTGCGACTCTTCTACTCTCAGAACTAGATCATGAAAAGTGCAGTGATTGCGTTACCTTCCAGGCTTCGCCCTCTGTGGTTCAAACTGAGGCAGCACCTAGGCAAGAGAAAGGAGATCGCTCGCCTCCTTTAGGCCGCGCTGAAGCTTGCAGATCGCAGCTTGTTAGGAATCCTCTGTTGGTAAAGAGGGAAAGAAATGAGTCCGACCTTGTCGGGAGTTACTTCCATGATGGCTTGAGGTGGAGCTCCTCAAGGAAAAGGAAGTTTTGTAGTAGTAAAAGACGCCGTATTGATTTTAGCCACAAATGCAGCGACAAAAGTAGCACATTTATAATACCAAAATCATTGAAGGTGGTTGAACAAGATAACTGCAAGAGTGGCGGGGATCCTTTGTTTGGCGCACCCATGACCTTCTGCTCAAACTTAGTCATGACTTAGATGACTGGTTTCTCAGCTGTATAGTAGAATTTACAGATGTTAGGTAGGTTTTTTTTCTCCTAGTTTTGATAGTGTATCAACTATGACAGTGGCAACTGCATTGTTTGGTTTTGGAGTTAAATGACCTCAAATTGCTGATCACTTATATTCAAAATGAGGAATTTGGATAGTGGAGAGTGGAGCAATCTTTGTACAATGCTTTGTATCCATAATCTTAGCTTAGAATGGACTGAAATGGTGGAAAATCTAACCGAGTTCATCAGATGAATTGCTGGTAACCTTTCTTCTTACCAAGTAATCTTGATGCAGCAGTTTTGAATGCAGCTGAAATAGATTATCTCCATTTTGGCATCTCTGTACTTTACTATGTTCTGTTAACAATTGTTTTCTTGGTGGTTTAGTCAGTTCTTCATCTTTACATTATCTCCTTTTGCATTATTTTTTAAAATTATTTTCTCTATAATAATTTTATAATCATATTTATAAAAATCTAGTCATAACAAAGGGACTCTGAGTAAAATTTCTCAAAATTGTATGTTTTAAATTCAAATGAATTAAAATAAAGATATCTCATTACAGTATGATTTTCATCTGCAAACAGCAAAATGGGACTCTGAACTGATTGCCACTGCAGTGAAGAATACAAACGCTGCTACTGACGTTACTGGGTGCTTTTAAAATTTGTGTTAAGCTTTTGATTTGTATGAAAATACGTTAATGCTACAAGTGATGACTCTCTGGTTTTGATTTGGGCTGGTACTTTCTTCAGCAAGTTAAAGCTGCTTGAATGTAAGATTGGGCACCTGCAAGTTTAATGATGAAGCTACGTCTTCTGACTTTTTCAGTAACTGAGAATTTCGATATTTTTGAGGACATAGCAAAGCTTGTGAATTTTCTGTTCAATGTTCTCAATCTCGGACTGGTTTGATACATAAAATGATGGCTTTTTGATGATCAGATTAGAAGTGTAATAGATTTGATTAATATTAAAAAATATAGAGTTAGAACTAAATGTTTGATTAGAAAATATAAAAAATGATATTTTTTATTAGAATTTTTTTTTTGGAACATTTAGGACAATTAAGACAGACTCACACATATATCACATACAAAAGACTCGAATGCAATGGCTCTTAGTTGATAGCCAAGGCTCCCAACAAACAAACCAAGATGAACTCCGTGATTTAAATAAGAATTTAACTTTTAATTAGACAAAATGAAAAAAAATATATTCATATAGTCAGCCCTATGTATCCGAATGAATGCTTGATGTTATTGTTGTTATCTTCATTGCTTTCCATCTAGGACCGATAAAAAAGTTTATCTGTCATGAACAATTTGAGTTTAACTTGTTTAGGAGCCCGTCTTTGATTCATTCATATTTATTTTGAATTATTTTCTTAACGAGGCAAACAAAAAATATTTTATTCGATGTTGCTCAACTTGTTTTTCTCTCTTATAGTTATAATATATAGAACTATAACGTTTTGCATAGCATATTATTATAAGATAAGATACTTTTCCTATCCTAAATTCGAGTAATTATTCCGTGCGAAGTTCGGACCGAAAGAACTGTCTGGACTATGAGTGTACACACTGTGTACAAATAGTATACAATTTTTGTCCGTAGTTTGGTTCAAACTATACACACACTCACAATCCGGGTGATTCTTTCCTGTTCGGACTCCGCACAGAATAATTTCTCATCTACAAAATACACATGTAAATAAAAAACTTAAGGGGTGATATGCAAGAAAAGTTTTTACGTCCGGACAAAAAACTGAAAATCCGGACGAATACCGAGCAATACCGAGTGCTCGGTACCGAGCACCCAGGTGACGTGGCGCTCTGTTAGTGGTCTCTGGACGCATTCGGTGTCCGAACACAGTAATTACTCGATATGCAAACCAATGGCCCAAGGCCTAAACCAAACAAAGAATATTATAAAGAAGCACCAAACCTCAAACAACTCAATAAGCCCTAATCCCGTCTATACAAGAATCAGATTCTACGGCTCCTAACCCACTCACTCTCTAATAAAAAAGCCGGGAGAAGGAATCCAGATTTTCTACATGATCTCCTTCATCTTCCCCATCTTTTAATCCATTCCTCCCACCTTTTATCACCAATTTCCTATCTTTCTTCCTCTTCAATCCATCATCTTCTTCTTCTTCTTCATGCCACCTTTCTATTGTATGATCATGAAGATCAACATCGATTGCGCCGGCTGTTACCGCAAAATTCGAGAAGCTCTTCTCAAGATAGAAGGTGAAAATCACAACATAATTAATAATTAGTTTGGTTTTTTTATTTGCTTCCTGCACCTAATCTTTTTTGTTTGTATGTGAATTGTTTGACGCGAAGAGTTGGAGAGCCACTTGATAGAGAGGAAGCTGGGAAGAGTAAGTGTCTGCGGAGAGTTCGTTCCACAGTTTGTGGCGATAAGGTTAAGAAAGATGATCAATCGCCGCGTCGAGATTTTGGAGATTAAAGAAGCGGTTGTTGGGAGCAGAGAAACAGCCGGTAATGGAGGACATCACGGTGGGGAGGGTGGTGGCGGCGGTAGACAAAGGGTGATGGTCGCGGCGGCTGCTTGTAATAAATGACGCTTAAAATTTGTAAGACGGTGATTTAATTTATATGAATATACCATGATTTAAGTTTCTTTTGCAACGAGAGATTATTCTGTGCAGATGTTGAATGCAGTTCATCATTCGGAGACTGATTAAAATATCCCAGGCTAGTGGTATTGAGTCGAGTACCGAGTGGTACCGAACCGTGAGTACCGAGCCGTGGTACCAAGCAGTATCGAGCCGCGGTACCGAGCATGAGGTGATGTGGCGATTCTGATTAGTCTCCGAACGACATTCAGCATCCGCGCAGAATAATTTCATGTTTGGAACAACTTTTTTGTTGTTTTATGAAATAAAATTTTAGTTCAATTTTTTTCTTTTCAATTTAAAAATTTTTATCCTAAAAAGATATTTCATAAAACAGTAAGAAAGCTCTTCCAAACAAAACTTGAATGGGAGGCAATGTGTAGAAACTGTGTAAAAGAATTTCTATTCGATGCCATATTTTTTTTTTTCATATGTAAATAAGTGTATGTTAAAATAAATAAATAAATAAATAGAATGATTTTGTGCATATTGCTTGGTTCATGAGTTCATAAGGTGAATTTGTAAGCATATTATATCAAATTAGTTTTGAGTATGAAAATATATTTTTAAAAAGGAAGTCATCATTTAATGGAATGTTAAAGGCAAAAATTGATTCAAAAAATTCCAAAGAGTGATTTTTATTATTGTTGAATAAAAAAGTTATAAAAAATAGCCAAACTTTAAAAGTATTTATAGATTTTTTTATATATTAAGTATTAACATGCCACTAGAAAATTTATTTTTTCTAACATAAATATCCAGATAATATTTGAATAAAAAAATTATTGTAATTAAATTTAGAATAATTTAAACTATGATTTCAACAAACTTGTGGTAGAAATGAACGCCAGGACATGACAAATCTAATAATACTAAAAGTGATATGATCCGAATCCAAATAAATCACAATGCAACACTTGAAATATAATTAAAATTTTAGGGCATTAATTGAAGAATATTGCAGATTGATAAATTCGCGGCGGTAAAGTGAGAGATTTTTTCATCATAGCATTGCACGATGATCCAACACAAACATATAATTGGGAGAGGGGAAGAAAAAATAATTACGTGGAAAACTCGAATAGACAAAAACCATGGGGCCTTGCCCAAGAGAAGAGATTTTACTATACTTGAGTGAGTTACAAAATTTGTTCCATCCATTAACTTTGGATAAGATGAAATTACAATAATTTAGAGAGCTAGTCGAACTTCATATAGGTGCTCAGGAGCTTGTAATGGTCGTGGTTAGATGATGGAACTCATGAGTTTGGTGGTAATTGTTGGGAGAAGATCTAGCAGGTGTTGGCAACCGGGCGGTGGTCTGACATCAAGTGGTGGCCCAACATTAGTCGACGACTGGGTGATGGTCCGACGATGGTCGACATTCAAGCAGAGGTCCAACGGTGGTTGGGAGGTCGTGCATTAGTTCGATGAGCCGATAGAAGTTCGCCTGCAAAGGTGCTTGGGTGGAGTTCAAGATCCTTGATGCCTTAAAGCTCTCTCTAATCTTCAGCCAAGATGTCCTCTTTTATGTAGAGAGTGGGGCTCTATTTATAAATTTTGAGAGCGATGTGCCCCTTAAATATGAAGCATATCCAATGCAAATTCGGAATGCTCAATCAAATGGACGACCCATATTGATTTCTTCGATCATAGAACGTTCATTCAGCATTTAATTGCCTTAATAATGTCTAAATTAAGTGATCCTGAGCTCGTTGGATTCATCTCGTCGAGCTGCTCGATGCGACTATAAACATGCTATATTTGGATAACATTTGGCTATACAATTACTGTACCAAAATTTCAAATATGCTTTGATCCTTTATTTGGGCCCGTTTGGGCTAGGATTGGACTGATTTTGGTTTTGTTAGGATCATCTTACTAAGATAGTTAATTTGACTATAAGTTTGCTGAAATTGGAGTTAATATGGCATGAATTTAATTAATTTTCTTGAATATGGCTCAAGTTTTGTGCTTGATGAAGAAGATTTTTTGTGACATATCAAAGATAAAATGAGTTTTGAATCTTGATGTTTGTAATCAAATTGAGCATTTCAAAGAAATCAATTCAATTCGCCTATGATCATTCAATCTAAGATCATTAATGTACTTAAATGTAATATAACTAATGTATGATTGAAGCACTCAATATAGGTATCCCCATATAATGTTATAGAATTCTATTCAAATTTGCTAAAATATTACTTTTAAAATACTATAAATAGATCTACATTATCTATATTAATGGCTTGGAAATCTAAAAAAAAAAACTCTAAAGCTATACTTGTGTAACAACTCAAACTCTTAATTATCGAGATATTGTCCAATTTGGCCTAAGAGTCTCACGATTTTATCGTATTAGTGTAACTTCACAATAGATCACTCATTCTAGAATTGTTGTTAGATGAGCACACTTAACTGCAAAATTTCTTAAATGAAATTTCAACCATTACATCAAAAGGCGTTTTGATGTTTAAGAGTTTTGATTTCTTTTACTTAAGGGGTTTTACTACTTGTTTGACTATGACGATTGTGGCAAGTAGCAGCAATAGGTGGACAACAATTGTCGAGACAACAAAGTTAAGATTGCGCTCTCTGAGTTTTATTTGTATTTCAAAATAATCTTACTTGATAAATTTTAAATACATAAAAAATAAATATTATAAGACATTCTAAATCTCCTAAAAATCCTTTACATTTAATTTACTTCAACCTAGAAAAATAAAATAAAATCACTATATTTCTTTTATTTTATATGACAATACGTGCAACCAAAACAATGAAATAAATCTGCTTTATGATTTATCCTCAAAAACATAATCGAGCCGACGAGGCCCACTGATTATAATATCAATAGATAAGCTTTAGTCGAAGTTGGAAAATTAAAGCAAGACAACTCTATGGAAAATTTTTGGAGAGAATATTTTCTAAACATTAATCATAATAAATATTATGGTTATTACATTTATTTTTTTAAAAATGTAACAATTAATTAATTAATTATATGTTAAATAAATTTAATTAAGAAATATAAATTTTATTTCAATTAAAATTTCATTTGGGATAATTTTCTTACTATTTTGTAATGGAGCATTCTAGTAAAATAATTTCTTGAAAGCAATTAAAAAGTGATTATTGGCGGTGATAAGAGAGCTATTAAATTTTCTCATTTCATTCCCCTCGTGTAGAAAATGAGGCCTATTTTTAAACTTTTTTAGATGGGCACTTCAGTATAAATGGCTTGAATCTAAGGCAATCCATCGTATTATCCATATTAATCCCATGATCATAGATCATTTATTAAACATTTGAATGACTTAATAATATCAGAATCAAGTGATATTTGACTCATAAGATTTTTTTCGTTGAGTTGCTTTGTTTGATTGTAAACATGTCATAATTAGAAGTCATTTGTCTTTCGATCTACCAATTTATTTTGAAGTTTTCAAACATGATCTAAATGCTTGATTTGAGCTCATTTGAAGTTGAATCAGGTCAATTGTAACATCCATAGTTTCATCTCTTCGAGATGTTTAATTTGACTACAAATTTACGTAATTTGAAGTTCATAAGATTATTAATTTAATTGTTAAAAATTTCCATTCAAATATTATCTCGAGATTCATACCGATCATGAAAATTTTCTAGGTCTTATTAAATATTTTTGAAAAATGCAAAGAAGTTATTTTGTCAGAAATAAATATTATTTTAACTAATTATTAATTTTTATATAATGTATCTTTTTAATAAACAGTACATAAATATAACTCTTTTATTTATATTGACTTATTATATTACGAAAAATATAGTGTATAAATACTTGATATTCAATTGAATTTCAACTAATTAAAAAAATTTTAATTGATATATTTTCCTATTTTTCTTCCTAATTACATAAAAGCCCAGGGCCCAGGCTAAATGAGGTGCCCTAATTAACTCCCCATCCAACAAGCACGGGCCTTAGATTGTGGAGCACTAATGCCCTTCATTAAACTACAATTACAATCTCTTAAGACTGTAATTAAGCTTTCTTAATGAATCATTAATCATTATTAATTAAGATTGCTCCGGGGCAGGCTTCACCTTCCATAAACCAAAATCTCTGACGACTTTGTAGCTTCAGTTCTGGTTTTAGAGAGATTAGAGAGAGAAAGTTTGAGACCAAGGAGAGGGAGGTCTAAGGCCAGAGAGCTCGCCATCGTCTGTGATGCCGAGGTTGGTCTCATCGTCTTTCTCCAGCACTAGCATACTATATGATTTCGCCAGCACCAGGTTTTGCTCTCTCTCTCTCTCTCTCTCTCTCTCTCTCTCTCTCTAGTTGGGAAAAGTTGACATCTTCTTGCTTTGATATTGCTGCTAGGGAGTAATTAAGTTTTATATAGATGTAATTACAATCATTCAAATACATTTACATACATACCACTTTATTTCATACTATTTACATATATAGCATCCAAAATATTAATATTACATGTCTACTACTCATATACAACTTTAATATCAAATATATAACTCTTATATTTCATTTCTACAACTCATATCATCCTATAAATCAGTGGCGGAGCTAGAAAATGTATTAGAGGAGGGGGGCCTAAATTATTATCTTTTTATTTTCCTTCAAATTTTAACATCCGGACTTGGGATTAAAATAGTAAGTTTTAAAAATGATAAAACTTTGATAATGAATTAGTTTCTTTTTTGTCTTCACAAAATGACTTCCAATCATCAAATCACTTGATTACTACTAAAACGAGTTCAATATATTAACTAAATACGTGATATTAAAAATCTTATTGCACAAAAACAAATCATAAAATCTCTTTAAGATCGAATCAATACAGGTTTAAGCTAATATAAACCTAGAAAAAAATGTAAATGAATAGGAAATTAAATTTTGAGTGATTTGAATGAACGGCCGATCTTAAATCTCTTGATCGTGGACCGTTTATTGGACATTTAAATGTCTTAGTGATATCAGAATTCAACGATCTTGGGCTCGTTGGATTCGTCTCGTCTAGCCTCTCAATTCGACTATAAGCATGTCATGTTTGGAAACTTTTTGATAATCCAAATTATGGTTTAAACCTTCTAAATATGCTTTGAGTCATTGATTTGGAGTCATTTGGGTTCGGATTGAGTTGAATTTGGTTCCGTTGGGTTTGCATTTTCGAGACGTTCAGTTCGATTGTAAGTTTGCTGAAATCGGAATTCATATTATCTCCGATTTAATTTTTGAAGTTTCCAACTTGATTTTATCTCTCTCTCTCTCTCTCTCTCTCATATTATATATATATATTTCATTTTTTTAGGGGGGGCACGTACCCCCCCTTGCCTACGCCAATGCTATAAACTTTAGTATTTTATTTCATGCATGCATATTTGTTCTATGGGTTGTAGGTATATAATATTAATATTTTGGGTGTTAGATATGTAAATAGTATGAAATAATGTGTTATGTATGTAAATGCCCCTTTAATATAAGGATCGAACCTCCAATGATGCTTGCTCCATATTAAATCATAATGATATTAAGACTTTGTTTGTGATAGTTTTCTTATTGCTTTCTAAAATAATTTTTTAATGCAAAAATTTCTAGTTCAAGAAAAATTTTTATACTAAAAAATTACTTTAAAAAATAGTAAGAAAATTATCCCAAATAAATTATAAATCATAACAATAAAACTTAACTTTCATCATTAATAATCATATTAATATTCCTTATATTTCAAATAATAGAATGAAACACATTTAAATATGATTTACTACGTATAAAATTATGCATCCAAATTAAATCGAGGATCTACTTATGATAAAATTTATTAGAGAGGCTATTGGTCATCTACAAAGATTTTAGATTGAGCCACAAACCTTAACACAATTTTTTTAAAGATTTGCTCCCCTAAATACATTTGAATTGTTTAGAGAGCTTCATCCGCCTCTATCTTGTCTTTTGATTTATGATTTCAGGTTTCTTATTACACTTCATGAGTGCTTACTTCTACAAGTCCCTTAAGGCTTTATCAATTGCCCTAAATTTTCATGTACCAAAGAGATTCTAAAGCACAAGCTTTCACCCCCATTAATTATAAAGGTTTACAGCCTCCACTATTAGTCCATATTAGTGACATTGTTGCTTAGGCCGTTCTTCCCTATGCTCGAATTTCAAGAATTTACCACCTCTTATAAATTTTAATAAACATCATCGTGTTTAATTTTCATCATGCATTACCACTTATTTTCTCCTCATTTTGAATTAATTCATTTTGATATTTGCAGTTTGAGTCATATTCTAACTCACTTATAGTTGCTATTTTGTTATCTTTATTGATGATCATTCTACAATCACTTTAGTATAATATTAAAATATTGATAAAAAATCATTGATATCTTTGCCAAAAAAATTTTAAAAAATTCCAAGTTCAATTTTAAGCAAACTCAATTGTATAATTTTGTTCTAAAAATGACATTCTGGTACTTGATGTAACAGCCCAAATTCTTTAACTATCGAGATACTGTCCGCTTTGGCCTAAAGGTCTCACGATTTTGTCATGTTGGTATAATTTACCAGGAGATGACTCATCCCAGGATTTCTCCGGGATGAACACACTTAACTGTGAAATTTCTTAATGAAATTCCAACAATTACATCAAAATGCGCCTCGATGTTAAAGAGTTCAACTTCTTTTACTTAAGAGTTCACAGTTAACCCATCTACTTATTACTATTCTTGGTTCCATGAACATCCACCGTAGTTGTTGGATCTAACCAATTAGTATGTGACATTGAATTCTGCAAAACATAGAGTCCATCAACTCTATTAAAATAAAAAAATAAATAATGAATATATAAAAAGAAAAAAAAAAGCTTCAAGATATCCAATGCACCTTTACACATCCTTAAGGGCACCAGCATCACCAGGGAATTCATATCCTGCAACACTAAAAGCACTAAAAGATATACAAATTTGGTACATTTATCACTCCAACCAATGATCAATTACACCACCATGTACCTTTAACTTCAAAGTGTCAGATCCTCCAATCTTACAAATATAAACCCATTTTCCATGTAAACATAACCACAAGAACTTGGCTTTTATATCAAAAACACATATCTAAATTTGAACAAGCCGAGTCCACAAACCCCTATTCTTTACACATTATTTTTAATCACCAAAAGAGCATTACTAATTTCATAACCATAGAAATCTGCAACAGCACTTGCATCAGCTAACTTATCCTTTTGCAACCGTCCTGTTCTTCTTACTCTTTCTTCTTCGAAGAAAAACAATTCTTCTTTATCAACCCTTTCTTCTAACAACAAAAACAAATAATCTTTTTGGCTTTATTTTGAGATTTGTTACTGCCATGATTAGAAGAGAACCCTCACTCATAAGATCTACCTCTATCCTGCAATGAACTTTTAGTTTATCACTTCTCCCTTAGAAATCACCTCTTTTTTAGGATTTATTTAGGATTTTAAGATTTTCTCTAATTAGGACTTTGAAATAACCACCAATCTTGAAAAATCAAAATAGTTAATGAAATTAGAGTCCACTCTAAACAACTTTGTGCTCCATTCATTTGGAGGATGATAATTTCATCCACTACATTCTCCACTTACATGAATAAATTAAATAAGGCTTATTTTTTGCCTTCTCATCCCCACAACCACCACCTTCTATTAGGGGTGTCAATTTCGGGTCACGGGTCGGGTTTGGGTCGAACCCGAAACTGACCCGGCACTATTCGGGTCAACCTGAACCCGACCCGTTTTTGAAAACGGGTTAGTTTTCTTGACCCGAACCCGACCCGCTTCGGGTCCGGGTCAACCCGACACGACCCGAATGACCAGTTTCCAACAAAAAATTTCTAGTTTTCGGGTCAAAAACGGATCTCTCCTCTTTTTCGGGTAAAAAAGGATCTATCTCCTCTTTTTTCAGGTAAAAATCGGGTCAAAATCAGGTCAATCTCGGGTTGCTGGGTCAAAATCAGGTCAAAGGGTTAAACTGAACCCGACCTGATTTTTGAAATGGGTTGAAATGTTGAACCCGAACCCGACCCGTTTCGGGTTGACACTAACTCGAAATTTTTGGGTCGGATTCGAGTCGGGTTTTCGAATCGTGTCAAATATTGACACCCCTACCTTCTATCCCTTATAATGTTGGTCCTCAATATAAAGCAAAAACATTGTACACCCTAAAGGGCAGTTCATTATGGCTCACACGGTAGAGGCCTAAATGTTATATTGAGTAAAATAGCCACAATAGGCAATAAAATTCTAGGTTATTGAAAATTTCTAAACATGATTGAACTTTTTTATATAATGAGTTAGCCCTAAAGGACATTGGCAAAATAGGACCTCACATTTTTTTTTAAAATGAAGCAAAAGCAAATGCATTGCTACATATATTCCTTCGGTTGGATATGAAAACTTAGTTTTTTTATTTGAATTTGACTCAACTGATTGAAATAGAAGACTAAAAATATTTTTTGTTGAACAAAAGAAAACACCAAGCCAAGAATGTATATACTTGCATATGGACATTGTTCTCTTTTGTCATTAGCTAGCGTATAATTACTCTTCTTTACCTAGCACATAAATAAAAATGGGAAGCTCATGGATATAATTGAAGAATAACGGCTGACATAGGAAATTCCGAAAGATATAACATTATAATATATTTTCCAATTGAGGTTTACTATAAGCGATTAGATTAGGAAAAAGGTCCTTGTGGACGGAATTTGGCACTAATGAAAGTCTTGGCTCTTGGGATTTCAAAGGTTCAAACAGATAAATCTTAAATATTGCTCTCATGGATTAGCTGAGAACTGTGTGATGCACCATATTCTTATTTACAAAAACATTTGTAATTTTTGTCAACATGAATGGATTAAAACTTATTTAAAAAAAAAAAAAAACATAATTATGAGCAAGACTTACCTAGATTATGAGCCTTTGTTTGATCAAAATCCTTCTGTCTACTCAGTCTTCACATATCTGGAAAGAGAATCCCAAAAAAGCCACTCTTAATTTCGTAGAATCCTTAATATTAGGTTGCCGTTTTCCTTTGAGAGAAAGGAAGAGGACAACTCCTTCCGAAGCAAACAAGCAAGACTTCACCTGCAGTCCCAAAGGCCGCTCTTAAAATAATCACATACAGCACAAGTCCCATAAACATAAATTTGTGAAGCTTTCAGAAATAAAATAAGGGGCAGATGCATCTCTTCGAAGTCAAGAATGAAATATTATTGCTTTCCAACTAGCATCAAGATCTTTTAGATATTTAAACAGAACTCTTACAGAGTAAAAGTGTGTTATCTCTTTTGCAAGTTCATTCTGAATGGAATGAGCTTAAAGACAGCTTGTTACTAAATGCAGCAACTCTAAATGAAATTAAAAGCCAAAAAGAAAAATATATCTTTTATTTTACGTCTATTTCGTAACAAAGCAAGTAGCCCCACTATCACGCCCCAGCCCATGATCCTGAGGGAAATCATCCCTAAGCTATTCGCAAATACCTTCAAATAACCTTCATTCAAATTAAACTAGAAAATAAGAGAAACTTTCGGTCGTGCCAGCACAAAAGAAAGGCCAACTATGATGAACGTGGCCCTTGTTCATAATTGATATCTCCACAGTAACTGAATTCCAGAAGCTTCAAAAAACTAGTTTTATTTTAAAGTAGGTACCAGTGAAAAAAAAAAGAATTTCCCCTTTAAACTGTCTGAACAAAACTGCTGAAGATACACTCAATAAAGAAATCAAAATCCATATATATATATATAAGAAACAGGTGTTCTCTTACATTGTGAACATCAATTAAGTATTTAGAATACTCCATTGGAACTACTACAATTTTTATTTTAGTTGGAGCAGTGAATCAACACATGCAAACATGGAATAAGCATTGGAAAGTAGTTCTGGAAATCTTCAAATATATAAAAAGACTCAACGAAAATGATTATTATATACTAAGTATGGGAATTTGAATGTTGAAGGCTTTTCATGTCGATCTATTGATAACAAAAAGTCAATCTCAGGATATTGCATCTTTGTTAGAGTAAAGTTGGCCATATAAAAAACGAGAAATGAAATATTGTGGCCACATTTAGTGCAAAATCAAAATATAGAGCTACGGCACATGCAACTCTTTTAGAAGAGTTTGGTTATTATTCAGCCTATGTCTCTATATTGTGACAATCTACGATGCACCGACACTTCTCCCCAAAGAGGCGTGCAGTGTCCGACACCGTGTCCGACACGCGTATCTTAAATATTTTATGAATTCTTTTAAATATAAATTCATGTATTTTGCGGGATTTAAACTAAATTTCTTATTTCTTATCCAAAACACCAAATCAATGTCCGCACTTAATTTCCAATCATCGAATATTCTCATTTTCATTTCTTTTTGGCAGTGAAGATATTTTCATCTCTTCTCTCGGTGAGTGATAAATGGCATTGACGCCTGACTCTCGAAGCCTGAAATATTAATTGTTGTTTTTTGAAACTTACAAAAAAAAAAAAAAAAAAAGCTAATGTACATGCTTGGTACCGCTTGGTATCGCTAGGTACATACTCGGTACCGCTAGGTACCGCTCAGTATATGCTCGGTACCGCTAGGTACAAGCTCGGTGCCGCTAGGTACATGCTCGATACCGCTCGGTACATGCTCGGTACCGCTCGGTACATGCTCGGTACCGCTCGGTATCTTTCCATACAAATAACTTACGAAGTTTAAAAACAAGCAGAACTTCAAGTATCATCCTCTTCTTGTTGTGAGAGAAATTGGAGCACATACTCATTTATTCAATCAATGAAGAGGAATAAAAATAACTCCACAACGAGTTGAAGATTTAATTTATGTGCATACAAATCTTTGTCTTCTATCAAGGAAAACCCCACTTTATATGACATGTGATAACAAAATGTGGGATGTTGCTAGAGATGGGTTCGAGTGCCTTGATGATATGAGATTATTGGAGGTTGCAAATCTTTTTCTAGATGAACTAGAGTTAAAAGCAATGATATTCAGTGATAATAATATTGAAGGCCAAAGATCAATCTCTGAATCTAATTCTATCATTCCCTCTATTGAGTAGTTGGACCTTCATGTTGTACTAAATAATTTTTTGCTTATATTTTTGTGGTTGTACTAGAAATTTTGTACTAAACATCTTTATGTTATAAACTAAACAAGTTATCATGAAATTGATTTATTATTGCTTGTCACTTTTAATATAATGTCACCTTAATTTCTATATACTATATTTAAAAATTATTATGCCGTGTCCGTGTCGTGTCGTGTCCGTGTCGACATGTCCGTGTCGGTGCATCATAGGTGACAATTATGTCATCATTTATATTGTAAACCATCCTATTTTTTATGAATAAAAAACAGACATCTATATTGCAAACAATCCTATTTTTTATGAATAAAAGCCATATCAAAGTTAATCGTTATGTCATACAAGATATCATGCTTTCAAGAAAAGTGTTACTATTTCCATTTCCATTTTAGAATAAGTGATTTAATATTTTTACGAAGGCTCATTTTTCTCAAATATATAGCAAATTAGAGCTAACAGATATATATGCTCAAACTAGATGATAAAAGCCGAAAAGGTAAGACTCCTCATAGTGGAAAGTAATATCCACATAATTGAGGGTTATAGCTTTCTCTTATTTGTTTCCTTATTAAATCCTCTTGTATGCCTTTGCCTCACATTGTCAGTCAATAATATAAAAGACAGCTTTCCTCTAAACAAGAATAATAGCAAAATGAGTTGATTTTAATAATTAATCATAAATGTTTGATAAACTATCAAATTTTATGCTTTTTAGAGATAAAATAAACAACATAAACCACTGCCAATGAATAGCTATAGCAAAACACATTGACCAACCACTGTCTGGCTTGCCGTTGACCAAACCCTACAAAGAACCAGAAAATGAATTATCATATAAAAATAAAACAAAGATAGAACAGATTGCATGAAAATTCGCTATTAAAATCAATCCATTAGAGATCAACTTATTAGCCAGTATAAAGTGCCACTACACGTTGTCCAAAAAAAGCAAACATTAAAATGATACATATTAATAGGTACTCCCCATATTTGTAATAATGTGATGTAGCACAAGGGTTCTCGAGAGCTGTAGCGCCCAGTGCATAGCATAATACATGCTATTTTGAAAATAGTGCATATTATATACAATTCTGTAATAATCAATGTAGAAGAAAAACATTAAAAAATAATATTATAACAATAAAAACATCAAGGCTTTATCCCACTGTGGGGTCGGCTACATGAATCTTTTTCTCCATTGTGCCCAATTAAAAGTTTAGATTTAAATTCTCATTTAAATCTAATAAAGTAAGGTCATTTCTTAACATGACAAAATGGAGAAAAATGATTAATGTAGCCAACCCCACGTAGTAGGACAAAGGCATGATGTTGTTGTTGTTCTTGTAAAGTAAGGTCATTTCTAATATTTTCTAACCGAGTCTATTTAGGTCTACCTCTACCTTTCTTAACATAAGTCAAATCTAATACATCTACCTTCCTAACCGGGTCATCGGAAGCCCATAGCTTTATGTGAAACCACCTAAGGCGACTCTCTCTAATCTTATCTTCCATTGGAGCTACTCCAACCTTTTCACGCATATTCTCATTTTGTATCATGTCTCTTAGAGTAAAGCCACTCATCCACCTGAGCATCTTCATCTCTACAACACTTTACTTAATATTATGCTTCTCTTTTAATGACCAACGTTCTGCACCATAAAGCATTGCAGGTCTAACCACCACCTTATAGAATTTCCCCATAAATTTGAAAGGGACTTTTCTATCACACAACAAGCCCGATGCATTCCTCCACTTCAACCATCCAACTTGATTCTACTAATAATATCCCCATCTATTTCACCATGACTTTGAACAATAGACCCAAGACATGTAAAACGTGTACTCTCATTAATGACTTGATCACTCAAAATCATAACCCCCCATAAGAACTATTATAACTAAAATTACACTCCACAAATTCAATTTTAGATCTACTCAAACGAAAGCCTTTAGACTCTAAGGTTGACCTCCATAATTCAACTTTACCTTCAACTCCCTCCGTAATCTTATCAACAAGAAGAACATCATCAGCAAAAAGCATACACCAGGGTACAACCTCTTGCAAATGTCTAGTGAGAAGATCCATGCCTAAAGCAAATATATATGGGTTTAAGGCTGATCCTTGATGTAATCCAACTGAAATAGGAAAATAACAACTCTTGCATACATATCCTTAATGACTTGAATGTAAGCATTATTAACCCCTTTCCTTTCTAGAACTCTCCATAGCACTTCTCTTGGAACTTTATCATATGGTTTCTCTAAATCAATAAATATCATATGTAGATCCTCCTTATTCTCTCTATACTTTTCCATCAAACCTCTCAATAAATATATAACTTCTATAGCAGACCTACCCGACATAAATACAAATTGATTTTGAGAAACATTAGTATCACGCCGCAACGTATGCTCCATAACTCTATCCCATACTTTTAAAGTATGACACAATAACTTAATTCCTCTATAATTCACACAATCTTGTGCATCACCTTTATTATTAAAATTAGAAATCAACACACTCATTCTCCACTCATCTGACATCTTTTTAGTTTGTAAAATAATATTAAGAAGTTTAGTAAGCCAAAAAATTCCTTCATCTCCTAAGCATTTTCACACCTCTATTGAAATATCATCAGGTCCAACAGCTTTTCCCCACTTCATTTTCTTTATTAAAAAATAATGTTGCATAAGAAAAATATAAAATTGTTTAATGTTGACCTCTACGTCACCTCCACGAACTCCGCGGAAATCCCATTTACCTCTGCAATTCGGCATCGACGCCGCACTTGTCATATCCCGCAATTTCTACTCGCCCCGTAGATGACCTCATTCGTTTTAAAACGAGAGAGGATTAGGCCTTCGTTCTTGTTGTTCCCGCACACAGCCGAACCTCACGAGCCACAAACTCCATGATCTGCTCCCTTATTTGACTCCCTTAACCTAGCTCCAGCCATTCCAATTATCCCGGCTCTGACCTTCATTCAACCC